TTACGGTCAGAAGAGGAAAACGGAAAGCAAATAGAGCAAAAGCAAGAAAGATTTAGAGCACCGACAGGAAGTAAAGGAAGCAACAGCAGAAATGGAGGAAGGCTGGAGCGTTGGAAGTCAGGACTCAAAGATGGTGTGCAAATGGAGTGTTCAATGTAATGTTATCGTTTTTAATTGACTAAGAGTGTAAATTTGCCAAATACAATCTATTGAGCCTGCCTCAGTCTTCTCACTCACTTGGAACCCTCAAGGTGAAAGGAAAAGAGGAAGGCCAAGGAACACATTACGCCAAGAAATAAAGAAAGATATGAGAAGAATGGACAAAAATTGGACAGAGTTGGTTGCAGAAAACTGGTGGGCAGCCTATGCTCTATTGGGGGGTAACAGGCGTAAGTAAGTAAGTAAGGTGTCACGTAAGAGATTGAATCACTTCAAAAATATTAAGTTACACATCGACTGCTAATTGAGATGAATACTGGGATGCTACACACAAATAATCAGTAAACAAGCAAATAGTATTTAGCTGTGCTGTCACTATTTTATTTGTCAATTTCTTTTTATTTACTATAAAAAGAAAGTTCTGGTTTTAACTCATAGGGGAGATTACCATCATTATTATTCCTAGCGGTCATAGAACGCATAGCTGACACAATCAAAGAAAATGATAAGTTGTTTGAAAGAGAAACATATTTTATATATACACATTTGTTATTGAGAGGAGGGGAACTGGAAGAAAAAATTTTCATTACAGAGTAAATATTTCACAAAAGCTCTCAGCTGTTATCTCTACCAATAACACAAATTCTATACAATAAAACAAGTCAGTCAATCATATGCAACGTAGAACCTGGTATACATAGGCTTCAGCGCAAGTCGTCACATCATATTAGCATAATGAGATGAATTATTTAGACAAATCCCAGAATAGTAGAATTAATAACAGATTTAGAAGCAAAAGGAAATATGGCTGCAAACAGTATAATTCGAGAAAGAATGAGTTCATGCTATTAAAAAATAGAAAATTTTGAAACCTAAGATTTAAGGAATGACAAAGAGCGAACACCAACAGTGGGAAAGAACAGACCAGATTCCAGTGGAGGAAATTAGGAATAAGTAGTGGAAGTGGGTAGGACACACACTGCGAAAAGCACCAAACTGCATCACAAGACGAGCCCTCTCTTGGGACCCCCAACGTTAAAGGAAAAGCGGAAGGCCAAGGAACACATAACGCCGAGTAATGGAGACAGACATGAGGAAAATGAACAAAAATTGGACAGAACTGGGAGACTCAGCATAGAGTAGGTTGGAGAATACTGGTCGGCGGCCTATGCTCCATTGGGGGTAACAGGCGTAAACAAGTGAAGAGTGAACACACCTAAGCTATCGCTACTGATTCTGAATCATAACACTGAAAAATCTTGAACCATGTGTTACAATAATTAGGTCGATCCGAACCACATTTGAACCTATCAATCGGGTTCAGCCCGTTCTTCATTGGCACCATGGACTGGTGCTACTTCTTGATTTGACTTCTAGGTTTCTTCCAACCTACACTTACACCAGCGAGCATCAATCGTTGTCGTTTGGTTTAAGTTCTGCATATGCAATCAATTCTATCAATGAAAACTAAGTACCTTATCAGAATATTTGGTTATATTACCTTAAACTCCTCAAACTGAAAAAAAATCATCGAAAAAAGCAAACAGTTGGAAACAGTACCTAAGCAATATTCTAATCAATAATTTTCAATGTAATTAGGATAATTAATCATAACAACTTCAGACTTATGATTAAGACAACTGGTAACATTAACTAGTAGTTTATGCTAATGAAACCTATATTTAATTGTTGGGGTCAGCATAAGGCAAAATGAGTTTATGACTATAATTCGTTCGTCCGTTTAAAACTTTAACTGTGAGGAAGCATAACATGCAAAGCAATGAGGTTTCAATGGAACCATGAATAAAAAACTCATATGCAGTAGGAAGAACTTGAAAATATTTCAACAAGATAAATCAATTCACGCTATATAAATATACACGATGTAGAAGGCAAGTTTCTATCTATACGACGTAGAGTACTGGAGTGAGTAGTGTTAAACTAATCAAAACTAATCGATGACACTAGTCTTAACAGAGTGGATGACAGAATAGTCAGAAGAGCATTTCTGTGTATTAATATTGTTCATTGTATGCAAAGAAAGTAGCATTCGTCAAATGACTGATCCTTATCAGTTACATTAGTAAACTAGAATAAAATGTAGAATTTGAGAAATTCATATTTCAAAAGAAAAGTGATACGCAAAAACGAAAATATAAGAAAAAATAGAATTTAACAGCGGTTTAACTTTCGAGACTAAATAGGTAGATTGCAAAATGTAACATTGCTGTGGACAACAGGGTACCCCAACCATACGCTTAAGACAAAGACACCGTATTAATATTATATGATAAGGTTAAATATTATGAGGTATGAAATGTCCCTTCTGAAAAAATGACTTTTATTGGAAAAAAACAAATCTCTTATATAAAAATATGATGAATAAGTAAACCAGAAGACCTGACGGATAATTAGCATCTTTTTCTTCCCGCAGTTTCTGATTCCATCGCATTAAATTAACCTGGAATTATATAAAACAAACAAACAAACAAAAATATGTAATCAGTTAATATAACATTCCACAGTGAATAATATACGAAGATACATATAAATTCACATTCAATCAGTTTTATCAAACAGATTATACATACTTAAACATTAAGAAGCAGTACGATTCATTTAGAAATTCGGATGAATGATTGACATTCCACTTCTGGTGTGACTGCTAGCAATAGTATCTGGTTGTATGCATCAAAATAAATGGTGAGCAATTTGAATTTACGAATTCGATTCTTAAAAAATGAAGTAACCACCTTCAGCCGACCATCATACAAACATTTGGAGGCTGTTCTTCTATACCAAGCCTTTATGCATGTGATAGGTTTGTTTTGTGATGTGAATAGTATAATAGAGATCGTAAGAAAGTAAATGTTCATCTCTGTCGGATAGGGTCGATCAACTTAAAGGTAATTGCTAAAATTAGACGTAATCTACAACAACCAATGATATTGCGCGCTGCATCGCACGACTCATCGAGTGGAAGACCACTACAATCCTGATGAAAATTATTCAATAGAAAAGGACTTCAAGAGAAACGGATGGCGCATCCAATTAATTTCTTGAAAACAATCTACATTATAGCCATTGAACCAAATACAAAATTACGAAATAAGTAAGTAACTTATTAACTGACGACCTAGAAATGCGAAACAGGAATAGATAATAATACTACTACTAATGCTAATAGTAATAATAATAATAAGATTTAACAGGAAATTAACAAGAACCATACTTAAAATGTCATAACATTACAGTTTATATGCCACAGTAGGATATGTAAATTTTTTTTTAAATGCTTGTTGAAAGCATTCACAACTATACACATGTACGTGCACAAGATTCAATACTTACATGTGATAACACAAACGATCTTGGAAATAGTTCAGATAATACAGAAAAAGAAAACATCCCAAAAACACATCATATTCTCATTTATATAAATCTAGATATTTTTTGTTTATCCTACCGTCAACTGTATATTATTGTCATTTATGTTAAGAAAGAAAGATATCATCAAACAATTTCTTAGAAAAGACAAAGAAAATTATTATCAACTCAAGGCATATATATATATATATCATTCAAATTATGTTATCATTATTACATTGTAAATGTAGTTCACATCGGAAGTGTCGTTTACTTGTGACGGTTGAATTACTGTTCAACCTCATATACCGATGTAAAAAGACATTAACTTACAAGATTTGATGAGACATAGGTAAGTCCTAATGCAACCAGGACACAGGTCTTTTATTCAGCATTAAATCAAGTTGATAAGTTTCGATAAATTTAATTTACCATGGTTAAGTAATTAAGGTGTTCGATTCTCAAACCAACAAACTCGTTGATAGAGTCAAGTTTCATTTACTTTAGCCTGGAAAAGAATTTAGGACTAACAGAATTTACACAGATAGGTTTAACTGAAAGTCTAAACTTTGTATATGATTTTATAAAAATGAGTTTCCCAACATTAATTTTTATTAATCTCGACTTTTAGAATTCAAAAAACTAAATAAAAATTTCAAAGTAAATAGCTAGAGCTGTGGAATGCATTATCTTGTAAAGAAGAGTCATTTTTGAAACTTTGATGAGAAAACGATAATGAGTTATGTAATCCCTTATCTAGCAGCCTACAATTCTCTAAGATAAATCAGAAGTACACTGAATGATTACTGCATATTGATCAAAGGAGTAGCACGGCATATCCACTGTCGAAAATCGTGAAACAATGAACATGTGTTCCCTCCTCATAGGGGGTCCACAGCAACGCTGACGGTAATCTTCTTCAGTGTCCCCTGGTTTTTAATAGTGGTCCAACTGAGATGAATTCTGTGGTGGGATTTCGTTCTCAGAACTGGACGCTTCGGTTGTGGAGCTGTCATTGTTCTTCTGAACAACATCATCAGCACAAACTTCAGGTACAAAATGAAGTATTCGGAACTCTCCACGTATTACCCTTAGATTATGCTGTTTACCTCGATCTTAGTTGGTGGTTGTTATCGACCTTAAACCTGTAGTTGTCTGTATCTTTATTTTGATTGTACTCCTTTTCGATCTGTTTCTTGATCCTATGTTTTTCTGATTTTTTAGACTGATTGATAAATCGGATCAATATCGATGTTTGTTGTTTGCTGATTGACTTGAGTGCCAAGCTTCTAAACAATTATCAGTGTCCTTTGAACTCCCTCAATCCGGTATTTCAACATTGTTCCAAGCGAATGAATGTTTATAATTGATCGTATGTATCGAAATAAGGGAAGAAATATCATGGGGCTTGACTACTGATTGGTGTTCACGTAGACGAAACTGAAGAGGAGGTTTACTTTGTCCTATGTAGTGTTTTTCACAGTCTGAGCAGTTTGTTTTGTAGATGATATTTGGTTTTTCTTCTTTTATCGTTTTGTCTTTTGGTTTACACACGATTGATTGAAATGATTCTGTTGGTTTTTGTGCTACACCTATCTCAAGTCAGTCAGTCAGTCAGATGCAACGTAGAAATTCGTACGTAAGTACATCAGTTCATGTCGCCATACCACATCAGCACAGAGATGTAATTGTCAATTCAAATCCAATAGTAGAAGAGGTAGTAAGGGTATTAGAAGTAATCGGAGAGGTTAGGATGAGAAGATATTATTCAAGAAGTATGCTTAAATGAGAAAAGTTTAGAAAGTCAAAACTAGAGGGGTTGAAGAACCCAGAAGATTAGGATTTGAGAGAACGCAAAGAATAAATGCACCGGCGCCATTGCGAACGATTTTGAGCCATGTCATTCAAGGTTTCTAACCATCGATTATTATCATCTCGCGGACCCCAACCAGGTAGTCGACAATTACCGACATGGCTAAGTCCACTCGTCAATGACTTCATGAATTTCTGCCATGTTTTGGTTTGGCCGCCCCTAACTTTCTTCCAACCTACTCCTACACTACAAAATAAAGCTCGACGAGGCAGTCGGTGGTTAGGAATACGCAACACATGTCCCAACCACCTCAACTGATGAAGGACGGAGCGAACGACCGCACAGTACACTCGTCCTTTAGTCAGCAAACGGATATCACGCCTTCGCTATAAGTGACGCAGGTTGGCAAAAGCCAATCGAGCCTTCTGTATCCGAGCTGAGATCTCGTCAGTCACCAGGCCATCGGCACTGATGAGACTCACAAGATAAGTGAAGCGGTCTACACGTTCGACTACTTCACTCCCTATCACTAGTTCAGGTGCCGATGAAACCCAATCTTGAAGCAACATTTTGCATTTCGAGGGGGAAAACCGCATCCCGAACATGCTTGCATTGTTGCTTAGGTAGTCAGAAGACTGCATTTTGTCAGCGTCTTCACCAACTAAGAATATGACATCGGCAAACTGAAAATTAAGACGAGGATAAGGTTATTTCTAGGAGCATGTCTACGATAAAATTAAACAAGAATGGAGAAAGTGGACATCCCTGACGGACACCACTTAAAGTAGAGAATTCCGATGACAGTAAGCTCTTACTCGATCTGTAGTGTTCTAGTAAAGAGCTTGTATAAGGTTATTGTACTTCTTTGTTACACCTTTCAATGACAGGCACTGCCACAGAACCTCACGATCCACAGAGTTAAATGCCACCTTTAGTTCCAGGAACACAACTATTGTCGGACGCCTACATGTGTGTCTGTGTTCCAGGACCTGTCGTAGTGTGAAAATGTGGTCTATACAACCACGTCCAGGTCGAAAACCAAACTGGTTTTCTCGAGTCTGCTCTTCACGAGCTCTAGTTAGACGTCTAAGTAATATCGAGGCTAACAATTTAGAAACTATATTAGTTAGACTTATTCCCCTGTGATTGTCACAAGAAGACTTATGTCCTTTCTTATAGATTGGGACAATCAGTGATTGAGACCACTCGTGTGGGATTACGTCCAGTTCCCAGATTCTACCTACGATCTCGGTCAATCTAACTGCTAAAACTGGACCATCATAGTTAAGTATCTCAGGGGTCAGTCTATCAGGACCTGCTGCTCTACTTCATTTTAGATTGCCTATAGCTTTCTCAACTTCATGTAGACTGGGAGGACTTACGTCGATTTGCCATTCAGGATGACTGGAGATCGTGGGTAACCGAAGAGTGGCTCGAGGCCAGTTGAACTGATCCCTAAAGTGTTCTGCCCATCGATCCAGTCTCCTGGATTGAGAATAAATAATAGTCCCATCCTTTTCCGAGATAGTCTCACACCTATCCCAAGTGGTTTCATTAGACGTGCTGTACTTTCTGATATATGTCTTTTATGTATGATAGGATGATCCGTTTGTTGTTTCCTGTACTTGACTTCGCTTCTGTTGATTGTTTCAGTTTTTTTAACGAAGTTGCGTGGATAGCCGTTCTTTTGGAAGATAGTCATCAGATATTTTTCTTCGTGTTTTTGTGCTTCATGTGTGCTGCAGTCTTTTCGCTCTCGTGAACAAAGTGTGTTGTTGCTATTGTAATTGAGAATTAGATCTGTGTAGGTTGGTGTACGAAATACTTGAGTCTCCAGTTTTCTGGCGTCAGTTCTGGTGATTCGCACATCTAGGAATGAAAGTTTGTTGTTTGACTCGTATTCCATTGTGAATTTAATGTCACCAAAGAAGTTGTTGATCCGATTGTAGGTGTGTTCTGGCTCGTTCATTTTATTGATGACGAGCCTGGGGATGTTAGATCCACAGAACTCGCTTGATAAATCTTTATTTTGGATTTATCTCATAGGCCGATCAGTTGACTTCGAGATCACATTTTCCACCAGGAAAATCCTTGGCTGTGATTGGTTACTGTGTCAGTTTAGTGTGCTAAATTGTGACTCTTCCAAGGACGTCTCTATGGAGTAAAAATAAACGCGATTTATGTGCTTGATTGCATTTTGCTTGCTGGATGTTTGTAGAATATACTTTCTACGCTACATTAAGGCTTTTCATTAGTCGGCAGATCAGGGTAGCCTACCTGGACGCTGATTGATTGTCTCGTTCGTATTTATTGACTAAGATGAACCCGTAATAGTTTCAAGCATACCTAGTGACGAACCTAACAGATGACGAATCTGTCATCTACATAACGAACACACATTTTTGGCTTGATTTCTGGTAAGATCGGTGCTTCTAGTCTCTGCATCACGGCTTCTGCTATAAGTCCTGATATTAGTGATCCCATTTGTGTTTATTTCATTAGTTCGTATATTTTGTTGTTGAACTGCGAATACGTCGTTAAGCATAAACCAATGAGTTCCAGCACACTTTGACTCTGAAGTCTCGTATACTTTGGGAGGGCATGATATCCGTTTTCTTCATGTTAGTCAAGGTGTCTGTACACATTTCTTAGAAGAACTAAAAAGGAAACAGTATGAAGGGAATTTATTTTAAATGACATAATTCTGGTGCTTAAACAGTGAACCGGTAAATTGGTGTGGAGTATGAGTTTCTTAACTCCGAACGTCGATTAGGAAATAACACACCGAAAGTTACTTTATTTCTTTTAAATTACTCACACTTGTTTCCAAAGCAAATGAGAATCCGCCAGCATAACCGACATCTACTTCAATCCACAGACCATTTGCATCGAGGTAAGGACATCCGACACGTCTAAGTACAGGTATTTCTGAGCCCAAGTCAATATCAACGACAGTGAGTTCATTGATGAAATTCGGAAGCTGTGATATTGTTGGACAGAGATAAAATAAAATAATTATAACATTTCGTGATATATTATGTAGGATGCCTAAAAAATTCCTAAATATTAACAAAAATTATTAATTTATGATAAAATATTATTCTAGCTAATAATTGAATGAACATATCTTTGTTATACATAAAAACAGAAAGATTTAAATCTAATTGTATGTCCTCAGGGAATTAGAAGTAAGGAAGTTTATTAATAACCTGAGTTGTCTCATTCTTAGAAATAAATAAAACTAGTATGATAACATTAACACACGAATTGGAAAAGGTTGGAATAAATTGTTTTGTCATATATCGCATTGCTTCGTAATTTTTTGTAATCTACATTAAGATTTCTAATAATAATTACTTAGGACACAACTACAGAAAAAGGTTACCAGTAAACTTTTGTTCTTACTATTAAATAATGTCATATAGAAAAACTAAGATAATACGATCGCTGATTTGTGATTTCTAGCAACTAATAATTAACAATTGTGCACTAATCCCAACTTCACCAATAAAAACATGTCGAAAGGAAAAAAGTTGATACAACTTACATGTATTTTTTTCAACTTCGCTTGAATTTTATTTTTTATCTTTTCTAACCAATAAGGTTCACGAAGAAAATCCCATAGTAAACGACCAATCAGGGCATTAAGCCATATCATATTTGTGTCACAATTAATTTGATTAACATTCAATTTCAAAGCTTGTGCACTTCGTACAAGCCAATTGGCTGGCATAAATTTAGCCATATACCGAACATAAGAGACATAGACTGGTTCACGATTCCCTGACATTGAGGCTCCATAATTTGAAAGATTTGCACTCGACATATAGTTACTACTAGTATTGGTGTTACTGCTTAAGCCAGTGGGAGGAACATTACTAACATTACCACTACTAATTGTAGTTACAGCAACATCAATGTTAGAAACAGTGGCAGTTGAATCAGGGCATGTTACCGGATTCGATGATGTATTTCCATCGGGTTGACTATCATCGTCACTTAACGTGGTGTCATTATGATTAACGTTATTACTAGCAGTTGTGGAAGTACCGCTTAAATAATCCGCCACGCCAATGTTATGAATATTATTATTATTATTACAACTATTACTGTTATTATTGGCATCCAAAGCCAAGAGATAATGTTGTACTGCCTATAAAAAAAAAGAAATATAAGATAAAAATAACAGTCAGCTAGAATTCAGTTCGTCCACAACATACAACGAAGTTCAATAATTTTGTAAAAAGAACAACAAAAATCCATAAGAATGATGAGAATGAATCGGCAAGTGTTATCATGTGAGGAACAAAAGCTAAACATAGTGTTTATTAAACTGAATAAGTATCATCAAAACAATCATACAGAACATATTCAATAACTTTCTTATATTATAAATAATAACAGTTTATCATTTCGTCTTTTCATTTAAAATGGTAGACAGAAATAATTCAAACAATTGGTCAGTTCAATCGTTTATAGTTTATACATTGGTTGTTGTTGAACTTACAACAATAATAACTACTGATTATTATATTCAATTCAGAATAAATTGTTGTCCGTTTGAATAAAACTTCAACAAAGCACAGTTATTTGATTAACAAACAAAAATGTTTAAGTATGTCTTCTTGCTTTTTTCAATAAAATATGTGAATAAACATGTTTCGTATCGAGATACACTGATAAAATAACGTATAAAACACAAATGAAAAATTAACAATTAAGACATTATGAGAAGAATGATTAATATAGTTAAATTGATGGTAGCACGAAAAGAAAATAAGCTTGTTTGTCAAAAATTTTCGAAACAGTAGAATGAGTATAATAATAATAATAATAATATTTAACAAATTTAATCACTCAACAGTTTGTATGGAGTTGTGTAGAGTAAATTAAATATATACAATTATAAATGAATGTAAAAAAGAAAATGCTTCTTTAGATAAGATTGTTTAATACCTTGACTGATGCACAAAATCGTGCTAATAATTACAAAATAGTAACGAACTGTTGATGAATTCTGTCAGTAGAACCAAATGCTCTAATTAAGACGATTGTGATCGGATTAATTTTTTAGTGCCATTTTTCATTAGCATCAAAGAGAATAATTCCAAACCTTTGATACAATATTCAGGATAAACAGTAACCATGATAGACCCTTACCAACTTATACCTATACTATGGATGTGTCATATAAGAATAATAACAAGTATTTTAAAGTAGACCACAGAGTGATCAATGATGCAATTCTGAGTTATGGAGGTAGATATCCGAAGACTAACCTGTTCCAATTTACCTCAATTCGTAATATAACATAATTCCACCACGTAGTCGCATTTAAGAATAGGTTAGTTTCGTACACTCTTTGCTTATGATTGAGAAATTTTACATTTTTCAAGAACAGTTGCCTAGCATAGATTTGACATTTATTTCATAGAGTCTCACACACGTGATCTGAGTGTTTGACGAGAATTATTGAAATATCACAAAGTGCAGCACATAAATGTAATATCAAAATCTAAACTAACTTTTTTCACGGTATTTATGCACCATTCGATCAGTGAGATTAATGAGAAAATTATCATTCCATACTATACCCAAAAAGGTTTCTTACCAATTGAGGTGTCCATATAAGAGGTGTGCCCAACGAGGCAGCTTTCAATCTACGATACCATGTTTCTTTTTCACGACATGTTCTTCCGAATAAATAAAGATTTTTCACATTTGATTTGCCTGATGTTTGCAATACACCGGTACTAGTATCATCAGGAAACTCCATAACCCCAGCTGATGGATTAGGCACATCCACTGGCAGATCACAGGTTTCATTCACTACTGGATTGGAGCTGGTAGATAATACGATGTTTGGAAAACTTGTTGATAATGGTAGTGAATCAAGTCTTTCAATTTTGCGCTGTGAGAAAAACAGAATAAATAATGTTTCATCAAAGTAGACAAATCACAATCAATCGAGACACAGGTGAAACTGTGTGATTTAAAGTTAACAAGCATACGTTGTTTTCATTACAAGGTAGGTAATTCGGAAAGGGAATATTTCGATGCCAATATCGAAAACAACATAATTTCCAATGTTTTTTTTTCGTTTAAAAATGTTATGGAGAACGTTGTCCAATGCTTACAGGTTTATAATGGTGGTCTAACAATGATTTAATCATGAATTCAATGTACAATTTTCATCATGGAAAAAAAATGAAAGAATGTGGCTTGTAGGCTTACCAGTACATGACAATTCATAATCACAGAGTAATCGAAATTTAATCCCAGAACTTACTAACCCTACGCAAAAACAAAATAATCTAGAAATCAATATTTATAGACACAAATTAGAAGTTTGAAAATAACGAGAACACATGTTAATGAACCTCCTAGCTTCACATTTACTGCACACGGTATTCTAGAAAATGGTCAATTTCAACTAGAAACGTATGGTGATTTTGTGAGTAGCTGAGGTTTCGTCAGTGCAACTACAACTCATACGAACATCGTTCTGCTCCTCTTTGTCTTTGACGCCGTTGATCGAAAAGCCCTGTTGTCGTATGTCATTAAAGGATGTATTTAAGAAAGATATCAACTAACCGAAGACTTTACTCTATCATTTAAGGAGACATCATATGACGAGAAACTATCAACTAAATTGTCTAATTGAAATGCTGTTAATGAGAGCTGTCCACCAATTTAATTCTATTGTAAACACGGCTATAGGAATAACAGCACGTTTTTCTAGTAGTTCGGGTTATGTTCCACTATCTGGATACCCGTTGATCAGTATTGAGTAATCAGAACACATAGTTCTGTTTGATTCGGATGGACGTCATTATCGTAGATACTGATTGTGGATTTAGCTACCATCCTGATGTGGTGATCAGGCTTGCCTATCGTGATGACCAGACCGAACTATATTGGCTGGAACATATATTTCTGTAGGTTCTACCAACCAGCATCTGCAGCGATGCTGCCTTCTTACAAGGAAGGAAGAGGTTAGAAAAAGTCGAATCTAAACATGTCACACCTCACCTTACCTCACGGATTTCCGTCTGCGGTAGTAAGGCCAGTTGAAGAGTGGAGGTAACACTTTACAAACTTCCCATAAAGAAGCCGTGCATGACCGTATGGTGTCGTGGCTCAAAGAACAGATAAAGGATACCGCCCTTTGCAACTATGCTCAGATACAACTTCCAATAAAAAGGGCGTGCGTGACCGGACTCAAGAAGTATCTATCAGGCTCTTCAGTCACGTTCCTATGTTGTTAAGAATGACGCCAATCCAACTTCCTCTACAGTTTCCTGAAGAAATAGCCGTCCACGGTGTGGGCACTGGGGAGTAATGTTCACCCTCATACTCGTAACACCACACGTGTCCTAACATGCTACAATCAAATCCTTCCTATACCTCATAATAACTCTCTTATCTCCACGACCGACCATTCTCCCGTTCCTTTGCCACCTCGCGCCTGTGATGCAAACATTTTGGTTTCACAAAACATATTTCTTAGTCACCCGAAAACCCATTATAAGCTACAAGTTGAGGTACTTAATGTTCGAACCTTGTGTCGGATAAGGTAACAAGCTTCCTTAGCTAAGACTCTGGAATCTCGTGCCATAGAAGTATGCTGCGTCCCCGAGACGCGCATAAAGGGTCCAAGTAGCGTCATTCACTTGACCTCACGATGTCAGAATTAAGAACCATTTCGATTCACGCTGTGTATCTGGCAGCCTCACTGCTGCTTGCCGTGGCCATACTGGTGTAGGTATAGCATTGAGTCGCAGGGCAGAACTAGCTCTCTTAGACAGGATCCCAGTAGATAGTCAAGAAAACCAGGCTAGATTCAGACCTGGAGGTGGATATATAGACCACATATTCACACTACGTCAGGTCCTACAACAAAGACACACGTGCAGACGCCCCGCAACAGTAGTATTTCTCGACCTTAAAGCGGCATTCGACACTGTAGATCGTGAGGTTCTCTGGCAGTGTCTGTCATTAAAATGTGTACCAAAGAAGTACATTAACCTTATACAGGCTCTCTACTCGAACACAACTGGTGGAGTTAGGGCTTATAACGAACTGTTGTCGAAATTCTCTACTTCAAGTTGTGCCCGTCAGGGATGTCAGCTCTCTTTATTTTTGTTTAACTTTGTTGTAGACATGCTTTTAGTGTGAAAATTACCACCGTCTGACTCTTCAGGATTGGACGTACTACCAGGAGACTTGCCGGCTGACTTCAAGTTTGCCGATGACATAGTTCTATTCGGTGAAGACGTTAAAAAAGCGCAGTCTTCTGACCACCCTAAGCAACAATACAAGTATGTTCGGGATGCGGTATTTCCCCTCAAAATGCAAAATGTTGCTTGAAGACTGGCTTGCGACGGAACCTGAACTAGGGATAGGGAGTGAAGAAGTCGAACGTGTAGACCGCTTCACGTATCTGGGGAGTCTCATCAGTGCCGATGGCCTGGTGACTGACGAAATCTCAGCACGGATACAGAAGGCTCGATTGGCTTTTGCCAACCTGCGTCACTTATGGAGCAGGCGAGATATCCACTTGTTAACCAGTTCGCCCAGTCCTACTATACGGATGCGAAACATGGCCGTTAAGAGTAGAGGACATTCATAGGTTACTAGTCTTCGAAGCATTGCTCGTGTATCGTGGGACAACCGAGTAAGCAATACTGTCGTTAGGAAACGAGTGCTAGGTAAGGATGGAAGATCATTAGATGAAGTATTGAAACTTCATCAGTTGATGTGGTTGGGATATTTGTTACGAATGCCCAACTACCGACTGCCTCGTCGAGATATGTTTTGCGGTGTAGGAGTAGGTTGGACAAAAGCTAGAGGCGGCCAAACCAAAACATGGCACGAATCCATGAAGTCACTGACTAGTGGACTGAGTCATGTTGGTAGGTGTCGATTACCTGCTTGGGTCCGCGAGATGATAGTTGGTAATCGATGTTTAGAGACCTTGAATGACATGACTCGAAACGTTTCGGAATGGCACAAGTACATCCACTCTGTTGCCCCTCTCAAATCATAATCTTCTGAATCCCTCATTACCTCTATCTTCTTCTTTCTATAGTTATCTCACTGAATTATACTTCTTGAATGGTATCTTGGAATTCAAATCTTCTCCATAACGGCTAATGCTTCTATTATCTCTACCACTATGGGATTTGAACTGACCTTTTTGTCTCAGTGCTAATGTGGTATGACAACATGAACTGATGTACGTACGTACAAATCTCTACGTTATAACTAACTGACCGACTTGAGAGACATGGTTGAGAAATGTTTGTAAAGGAACAGGCGTGATCAACTTTCTTTAAGAAGCTTAGTTCTGAAATCTCATACTTTATTCTTCCCATAACTTGTTATTTATAGTAATACTAATACTATTAACACTCCAACTACTTTGGTATTTACCTTGAAATGATTTTATCTTGTTGTGTGAATAGGGTATGGCACATATGTGGACGGTTTTACGTCTGCTACGATCAATTAACAGAGGTCGACTTATGCTCAGCAGCTTTATTGTTTCACGTACAAACAAATTTTTAATGAAATCAGTATTTAAATGCACAAAGGACGGTTTATGATAAAAAATTATTGATTGATAAACACAATCATCATTTTAAGAATTACCTTAAATCTACCTTCGGTGTGAACAGTGATACAAATAGGATATTTTCTACTCCATAAACGTTTACCGACTAACCCATTTGGAAGAAGTGTAACAGTTGCATTAGATAAGTCATAAATATGCTGTTGTTTGAATCGTATAGTTGTAGTTGATAAAATTTCATCATTCCATAAAGACCGACGAGTAATATTATGTTCTGGGCGTTGTAGGCGTAATTGAGTACCATCAAGCGTGAGGAAGACGGAAAATGTTTTGCCAATATGATGAGTTTCAGGATCATAATGAAGAATCTACAGGAAGGAAAGAACAATACACAGATATTCGTTAGTATGAAAGGAAACAGAAACAAGTAAATAGCAAGCAAATACTTTGTGTATGTCTTAATCAAATGATCGAAATTTAAACTCAAAGCAATAAGGTATAGTATGGAAATAGTACTATTATATATTGATTAAAATATGAAGGATAAAGATCAATAAATTAATCGAATTCTTTTATTAAATCATATACACTTTTATGGTTCACTTTTAACGGCATTATTCTGAATAAAACATTAATTAGTTTGTTGTTATCATAGTAGTCAAGAATTTACTGTCAGTACCTCCGGATCCATCATAGAACCTTCCGAAGAAGCTCCTCCAAGTAAGTGACTCAAACCCATTGCACAATTACAATTTTTAAATAATGTTTTAAGCAGCTGATGAGAACCAAAAGAAATAAGGTGGATTTATCCTAACCTGCTCAACATGTTTTTGTTCTGTTCAAGATGATAAGTGGAACTATGTGTATGAAATGAATACCATTGATAAGGTTATTATTTCAGTTATTAAATCGCGAGCTTTATATTCCACCTATATTCCCCTAGTCCTCACACTGAAATGAATTGCAAAGTATAAAACATGGACAGGTGATTAAACTGAGTTAGCTTTTGGTCAAATAACTTTGAACAATAGGCAACAGCAAGATAGTTTGAAGTGTAAAATGTAAGGAGGAGACCACGCCTAAATAGGTGTAACTTAAATCTACAGTTTCTCCCTAAACTTATGGTTTACCTTACTAACAGATATCAACGCTGTTGTTTCCACAGATTTCGGATATCGTACTAAGCTGTCTCAGGGTAGGAATCATTTACATGGTCGCCTAGCTGTTTTTCTAGTTGTTCCTAAAATATATTCTTAGACTCGTTTTCATCATTAAGTTGAGCCCTAACAGGTTTCCCTGCAGTGTTTTTCCTACGACCAGTAAGACTCAGACAAATACCCGATCGTACTAGAGCATGATCTGAATCTAGACATGTCGTCCAGAATTAGCCACAGCCTTAAATGGAACCTCTCCATCAGTGGTTGATAGCGACGTGGGCTAGTTGGGTCTATCCTTTGGTCACCATGTCAAAACATGATTTTCCTCGTGCTTGAAGTTAGTAATTGTTAGAAATAGGCGTTCATCTGTGCGTAGTTGCAACAGACGGTATCCCTTATCCGTTCTTTGAGCCACGACACCATACGGTCATGCACGGCTTCTTTATGGGAAGTTTGTAAATTGTTACCTCCACTCTTCAACAGGCCTTACTACCGCAGACGGAAATCCGTGAGGTAAGGTGAGGTGTGACATGTTTAGATTCGACTTTTTCTAACCTCTTCCTTCCTTGTAAGAAGGCAGCATCGCTCCAGATGCTGGTTGGCCGAAGGAAACACCTTACTGTTATCACACCCCTCCTCTACAGTCGGCAGTACGAATTCGCTCTCACACCTTGAGTAGATGCTTTTAGTCTCACCGTTCTGCAATCGACCTGAGTGGCATGGTAGAACCTACAGAAATATACGTTCAAGACAATATAGTTCGGTTAGGTCATCACGATAGGCAAGCCTGATCACCACGTCAGGATGATAGCTACGGTCGGGAGAGACTGATCAGTTGTAGCCCCGAATATAAATATTGGGATGTAACAACCCTTACTATCAAGGTTACCGAAAATTGATCATGATAAAATTAACAATATCCGTTTGCAGTAGGAAAATATTTTTCTTTTTATCAATGATAGTTTTCTGTGAAATAAAACTATTGATTTATCATCACGTTGAAATAAGTGGTCTATTGGAATTTATCTTAAATGTCACATATACCCTGACAAGTAGTTTTGTTATCGTTGTTGCTCGTAGCTCTATCTTAAATTGATATCAACATACTGATCACGTCTAGCTATACATAAATATATAATTAAGATTTCGAAAATAATTAAGAGACATTTCTCTGAAATGTACTATTTAGTTAGTGATACTTAAAGTGGAATGTGCTGGTAGATCAACAGGGTATTTATGAAACCTACATTTTTCCGCTGATAAATACAATATGTTTTTTGAGTTTCAAACTGACTGTAAATTAAAGAACTACAAAATTGATTATGATCTAATCAGAATGAAACAGCCTACCTCGTTTAACCACCCTTTGTACACAGGTCGTCCATTATTGTCATATTTAAAACCTAAACTATTTCCCAATGGACCTGAGATAGTTGATTTGTTAACATCCTCTTCAATCATATTTGGTACAGTAAAATTTGGCAAATTTCTTAACTGCACACATTTATTAGTATTGTTTGTGTTATTAATTAAAGGTAAAGTTGGCATAGCTGGTGAATAGATAGGCCACCATTGTGCAGCTTGATAGCATCCTTCTTGTTCTTGTCGATAATGCACAGAACAGCATAAGTGATCTAATGGCAATCCTGATATTGGACAGAGAATTTGATTAGGATATGTTGTTCGACTATGTAAATAATTATACACTGTGATAAATGTATATGTTAATATACAACCAACAGTTAAACCCCATAGAAAACCAGTAAAAAGCCAATAAATCAAAAGCACTGTCAGTGAACAAAATGTGTAACACATCCATGGATGAGATCTGTTAAGCAAAGTAAAATAAAAACAAGGTAAGAAGAAGTAAAAATTTTAACTATCCACATAAATATATATAAACATGTGTAATGTAAGTCGCGTAAAATTGCAGGAATCATCTTGAATTTAATCAATGACAAAGAGCACATATGGACGAAATAGGCATCGAATGGTAATGAGATGAATGGTATTTTTAACTATGCGAATAACTCAACAAACAATAAGGCATCGAATGTCGGATTCTAAACCAGTCCTCCACGAACTTAACTACCAATCTCTTCATTATTTATCAATGATGAAATGAGTATGTCGAATATCCACCGTCCCAGATGTTTATAAAAACCACAAATATATCACTTATAGATGACCATCAGTATAAGTTGAGATACTACATCAGCACAAAGAGATGAAATTATCAAAAATTATCAAAAATAACCGAAGTAGAAGTAATAACGATAACAAGAAGGATTAGTTGGAGAGAATATTATTCAAAAGAAGAAAAACTATAAAAATAAAAAGTATGAAATACTTTTGAAACCCCAAATCTAGGTGTAAACAAAGAGTGACCGTATATACATTATGGCGATTGACTGTGAGTGAAATCATCTAGAGTTGCCAATGAGGGGTCAACGTAATAACGTAGACCGCAACCGGATGATCTAAACCATTACTATAACCAACACAATGGTCTCCTTTGAGGTAAATTGTAAAATATTTGATACAAAGTTGAAAGCTCGCAGTTAAAAAAACGGAAAGGGAAACAGCTGGTCATTAATAATGCAAAAGTAACTTTAAAACACTTTTTATTGACAAGGAAAAATGTAGATAGTGGAAGAAAAGTGGAAATAACAAGAAGGAATTATAAAAAATAAAGATGTGAGAATAATAATGATGATTATAATATGACAACAGTTAATAAACTGTACCGATATTATAACTAGGCTTATGACAAATATAGTAAAAAAAAATCAGATGATCGGTGCTCATTTTTCATACAGAGGCTTCTATCTTACTATAGTTAACAATCCTTTATCTAAAACTTTATTGTTGATGAAAGTACACACAGTTTAATTGTACTTTGCCTCAAATTGATATTTCATTTAAATTGCGATAATGTTAGATACTATCTACAACAAAACTGTCTGAATAACGAGTATAGTTATGTAGACAATTACTCAAATTAAAATTAAGAAAAAACATTCAAAAATCTTTTACTGTGGTTGACGTAACGAGGGTTGTCCTTTATCAAAATGAAACAACCAGCACAGATAAGAGTGAGCATTTCTCACGGTTAAATATAAATTAAATTCATTATGATACATCACTTTTTAAGGAAGCGTTTAAATGATATTTATTTTAGTCATTCCAGTTTTAACAATTTGAATCAAATTATCTGACATAAACTAATCATAAGTAAAAATACACATTCCCCAAGTGCCATGGTAAGGTCAGAAATGAGGAGAGTTCGCTCTCCTCCTCGAAATGCTCATATAGCCGTGTGTATGTGACCGCCGTCAGGTAAGTCACTGTCTGCTTGCGCCTGGGGTGTTGTTCACGAGATCGAGAGGACTAAAAGCGAGTGTTCGGCAGTTTAACCGGGTTGGTGAGTATGGAGGATCCACCTAAAGGAGTTGTAAAATCTTTAGTCCTAATGAATGATGAACATGAACTCAAGGAACCTGACGGAGTGAAAGATGTGTGAACCTACTGTCGGTCACCAGCTACTATGAGACTGCATCTTCTTACGTTCCTCCAATGACTAGTGGATTAGGCTTTTGGGTTGAAAGTTCAAGGTGCGGCTCCCTAAGAAAGCCATCTACTTCGGTTTCGGCATCCGGGCTGTAACCCAGCCTACTAATAAATTTAAAAATATTTGTGGTGCATAAATGTTTAAGTGACCATTTTTACCAGTATTTATGTGTTGAAATATAATTAATAAACATTTCCATAAGTTAGCAGAAATCATATATATAGTTTGCTAAGGTGGTTTTGTGAAGATTGTGAACAATCATGATAAATCAACTGAAGTTCAAAATACGAACACGTTAATTTAGAAGCAATTGCGGTAAGATATTGTGTATTTAAAGAGAATTAGTGCGGAATCCAAACCTACGGCGAAACACGGTCAATGTTCTTCAGTTTTCAGTGGTTCTCTACCTGATGTCAGTTCACGACATATATTACTTCTTGAATGATAGAAATTTGAACCAGAATCAACGTTTGAAAAAATGGTAACTTAAAATTCTTAAAACTCTCATCCGGCATAACATGTAGAGATAGATAGTGGTTGGCAGTGGAATCCAGGAGGCGCTTTTCATCCTATACGGAACTCGTCAGCTGGATGTACCTTCCTCCCAGAGCTGATTTTCATTTCAAAACTCGAACTCAGTACCGTTCGTTTCCATCTCTGATTATAATGCTTGTGACATAATGGCTACATCGAGGCTATCCGCACAGGATGCACATACACCGAGTGAAACTGATCAGTTGCGGTCCTACCTGTCAATGAGAAGATTCAAATTACCAATGCAAATGAAATATCATTCGACGTATTAGTGATTACAAATTTGATGTAACATCACATCCTAGCAAGGTGGGTATGTAGTGATTACAATAGGCGTGAACATACTTATAAAGTCGATTGTTTAAATTCACTCATACTCTTTATTTCTGAGTGTTGTTGCCAAAGTTATCAACAGTATGTAATTCATGTCAAGATTAAAATACCTGCATGATCTCAGAGTATAATAAGAAATCTCAAACTACAGTCAGTAAGATATATCTGACAGTTCAAGCTTAGTGATTAATCTCTTTCATTTTGCTTACAACCGATTTAAACAACAAAACCTAAAGCTAATTATATCGTAATATTAGTAGATATGTAACTTATGTGAAGGATTTATTTGACAATATTATTTCATAAACTTACTTTTTAATCACTGATAAACGATGTGATTTTGATCTGAACACCTTTGAACCACTAGTATCTGGTATGATGTTAGTAGTAATATTATTAGGAGTAGTAGTAACATGACGTTGTCTAATTTGGGGATTATCTAATACAGCAGGTGGCGTTACCGGATGAGGAGGAGGAGGAGGAGGAGAAATGGTTGTGGGATTTTTAGTATTTGGCACAGAAATAGGTATACAAACTGGTTCAGCAACTTTGTTAGGGATTTGATATTTGTTATCAGTTGTAAGTGTAGATATTGGTGATGGTAAATTAATTTTCATTTTTGATGATGACGATGACCATGGTGGTGTAGGATCGGAAACATTTCTCGTTTTCTAAATACATATTTAGAAATGTGAATACAAATTACTAAAAACAGGTTCTATGAATTAGAAAAAGTTTTCAGTGATAACGAAATGATAAATGATGATTAAAAAGCAATATGGGCACTGGAAAAATTATTAAGTCGGAATGCGAACGAAAATAAAGTAATTCATTTAACAAAGGTAATAAAGGATTACTGGTGATTTTATTCACATACACACATCGTTGAAACATTTCCTTACGTATTGTATCAGCAGTAGATTTCTTAATCATATTGATAAATTCATTAAACCAAGTACATTAAAGGTTGTACAACCCTCGACTCACGTTAAAATACTTCAAGTCAGTGAAATATTTACCAACTTACCAACAAGAACAGTAATAGCACACGACTACTCAAAGAAGGCGAAGCAAAATTTGACTGTATTATCCACTATTAGTAACAGGAAGTTGCAAAAAGTTTCCATCATTTGACCTAGTAACTTATATTGCGTTCACATAATGACAAAAAAATACCATCGTGCAACTGACAATTATGAGAAGTTTGAGTAGTGCATTCGAAGACCAAGTGAGTGACGAGACTCAAAGTATTAGACCATGAAATCATGAAATAGGGCTTTGATAATCGAGATTAATGTCAGGGCCTGCGTATTTGGCTACAGTAAAAAGTATAAACCTAATTTTTTTCAACAGACGAAACATAAACATGGATTTATTACTAACCTTTACTTGATATTAAAAATAACGACGTGAGAAAGTGATTAAAAATTGTTGCAACAACATACTTCTATAGTTGCTTACATCAATAGCAAAATTCACTGGTGGTTTAATTGAATTAGTAGAAACAGCAACATGAGTATCATGTTGATTACCCATGACCAAGTTGACTGGTTTAATGGATGTATTTAACGACACAGTGTTGGTTTTAGACGGATTAATCGAAACAGTAGATGATGTTGGTGCCGTTGTACAATCTGCAGATGAATGAGATAAAACACCTGAATGTAAGTGAACATCCGAATCTTCATCTAACGATACAGTTTTCATTAAATGATTATCTAAATTTGATTTTAGTGAATGAACGACATGGCCAGTGATAGGTGATATATCCTTTGAACTGAAATGAAAAAAAGGCAATAAAAATGAATGATCCAGGAAGTGTTACTATTTTGTTACTGCAATGGACAAAAAATATTATAGTTCAAATCCATGTATTTGCGTTTGAGGTTCTCACTTTGAAGTACACGCAAAACTTTTTACTGTATATTGAAAAGAAATGGCTATCATCCATGTATTAATGTAGTTCTTCATTAGTACCTACTTTTAATCCATTTGATGCCTATTTTAAAGAAATCAGATATTGTTAGTAACGTTACAGCAGGGAAATGTGAGAAACTATTAAATTCACGAATAGAAATAGTGGATTTTGGTTAATTCTGAAGTATTAGACTAAATCAGTTAGTAAAATTTAGTTATAGTGGATACAGCATCTTGAGATGAAAGTTTGCCAGTACTATATCAATGACGTTAACATGAGGATAAAAGAAAAAACTACCTACTGTTTGAACCATTTCGAATTGAATGAAAAGACCACCTAATGACTAGTATAGATAGAAATCGAACCAGCCACATTTTCTATTGCAAGTATATTGAGACGCCATCCATTAATCAAAAAACGTTCAAAAAACCTTAATTATGACGATACAAATATAAAACAAATTACAATTTCAATAATAACCATCGTTACAATCAAAATAAAAGAGCTGATCTGCAGTAAAAACAGTATAATAAATAAGCCTAATGAGATCTTAACAATAGCACAATTCTAGTACGAAATCAGGATAGATGATCTTGTCTTAAAGGGGTATTTCGAACGTTTATTGCAGTAAATATCAGCTTAACCTACTATACTAATTAACTTGTATACTTCTACGGGAAGGGTAAAACTCTATTACGTGCATATACCAGGTTACCTGCTCTTTTTACACGTAAATCAATCATCAATATTGCTTCATTGATACATTCGGAAATAACCACAAGCATGACTCATCAAAAGGCAATACAGGTTAACCATAACATTTATTCAACAACATGCAGTAGATTCAGGACATTCAGTTTTAAGTTAATTTTTGGCATCATCTACAAGTCCAGTCAAAGATCCTGAGAGATAAACTTCTAAACCTAATTTTCCTTCTAGTTGTTTTAGACATTCGTTATCAAGTTAAACATATATTGGTCGCATAATCTCTAATCGCTATGTGAAAGTATTGTGTGCTGGCATGATCTCCACTTTACTGCTTCTTTTGGACATTTTGTTATTAGACAAAAGATTAACTACAGTGAGAGTCTATACAATAACTATGCTAAATCATAACGATAAATAAAATAACCACCCTGTTTTAAAGGAATGAAGTAGAATAACGATGAGAGTAAATAGGTCACGAGGAACGATCCGTAGTTCTATACTGTAGACTCCATACTTATTGGATTCAGCTAACAGTAAGTTTGGGGGAATCGCATTTCAGTTTGACGAATAAGATAAACTTAATACCACGAAAATATTTATCAACAAGAGTTTGTATAACTGCACTAAACGTTTTATTCTCTATATTCAGTTTCGACTTCAATATCCGAAGTAATCTAAAACAATATCTTTAACAATTCAAAATGTTATGACCTTTAAGATTGACATTAGTCAAGGTGCATGATTATTCTACATATTGTCAAGTCGAAAGCTCTCACTTGTGTAAAGAGCACACATTGTGTGGCCGATATAAACATAGTCACACGAGCAAATACACTGGCAGACGCATTGACACCGATGAAAACGGGAGTTTATCTTTCATACACCAACGAACCGCACATCTATCAGTTTATTTGTTCGTTTAAGAAGTTATACTGGTCCCTCTAAACTTGCATCCCTATGTAAAAGATAATGCGAACCCCGCCTATAAAAGGATTTTAAAAGTATTTCAAATATATACGCAAGCACAAAACTCTAATTTATACTTGGTATAACTCCTAAATTATAAAGTCTAGTCTGGACGATGAAATCCTAAATCATTAAAAAAATAAATATTAACTCCGCAGTTAATTTCAAGTCATATATTTTTTGAATTCTAATACTTTATATCCGCAAAATATAACTTTATAAAATCCATAGCAAGTAAATTTTAGAAATTGATAAGCAATCTTTTTGAGCTAATATATTTTACAAACACAGGTCGTATAATAAAAAAATTTGACAGGGATATTTGTTCATTGAAAACATTATAATTTTCAGGCAAACTATTATCAAGTTTCAAAAATTAATTACCCTACCCAGCTGTGTAATGCTAGTTAGCGAATCCTTTATTATGTATCGCTGGGGAATTTACTACAAATGAAATCCAGAAATATTTTACTGTGATGTAACTACTTCATTTAACACAGCTAACTAGTATGACCAGTATGAGTGACACTAAATAATCGAGTAAACGAAAAGTGAAAGTTGACAAAACAATTCATGCAAAGTAGTGCAGCATCAGAACTTGAATTCTCTACTCATTGGAAAATTATCTGACCAACGATGTAGAAATGCCGAATACAGATTTAAAAAACAAATTACCAAGACATTTACACTATTTTCACAGGAAACTTACAATAATAATGAATGAAAACATAACCTTAAGCAATGGAGAGTAAAACAGTCTGAATACGTATTGGTTCCTTTACAAGATTTTGTATCAGTATAGAGAAAGAAAATCACGAGGGGATGAAAACAAGACAAACTACTATATACGAAATTGGAACGTGAGGCATAATATATATTTTAAATAATAAAGGTGAGATAGTAGGACAAAAGTATGGGACAACGCTAGTTTAATTGCGCCAGTGAGATCAATTTTGGAGAACTTCAAAAGCCCCATAGAATAATTCTACACTTCACCACACATCTCAGTCGTCACAGACACCAGCTCGGAACTCAAAGTATCTTCATGAATTGATCCAATCTACTGGAATGAGAATAAATAATAAACACATCCTTTTCCGAAATAGTTTGACAAACAGTCAGATTCCTAATACCGTTTCCTTAATAAGTCGGTACAGTAGTCGACTGTTACCTATAGACGCTGCCTTTTCCGTCTTGCTTGCTTTCGCTACACAGCACCGTTCGCGATCATTGTATAGGCCTTTCATCGGCCTGCGCTTAAGCTGACTTCGATTTCGTCATGTTCACAGCCAGGTGGGATGAGTTTCCGAACATCTATCACTTCGGCAGGTGTTACTTAAATCCACTGATTCTCCCTAAACTTATGGTTTACCTTACTAACAGATATCAACGCTGTTGTTTCCACAGATTTCGGATATCGTACTAAGCTGTCTCAGGGTAGGAATCATTTACATGGTCGCCTAGCTGTTTTTCTAGTTGTTCCTAAAATATATTCTTAGACTCGTTTTCATCATTAAGTTGAGCCCTAACAGGTTTCCCTGCAGTGTTTTTCCTACGACCAGTAAGACTCAGACAAATACCCGATCGTACTAGAGCATGATCTGAATCTAGACATGTCGTCCAGAATTAGCCACAGCCTTAAATGGAACCTCTCCATCAGTGGTTGATAGCGACGTGGGCTAGTTGGGTCTATCCTTTGGTCACCATGTCAAAACATGATTTTCCTCGTGCTTGAAGTTAGTAATTGTTAGAAATAGGCGTTCATCTGTGCGTAGTTGCAACAGACGGTATCCCTTATCCGTTCTTTGAGCCACGACACCATACGGTCATGCACGGCTTCTTTATGGGAAGTTTGTAAATTGTTACCTCCACTCTTCAACAGGCCTTACTACCGCAGACGGAAATCCGTGAGGTAAGGTGAGGTGTGACATGTTTAGATTCGACTTTTTCTAACCTCTTCCTTCCTTGTAAGAAGGCAGCATCGCTCCAGATGCTGGTTGGCCGAAGGAAACACCTTACTGTTATCACACCCCTCCTCTACAGTCGGCAGTACGAATTCGCTCTCACACCTTGAGTAGATGCTTTTAGTCTCACCGTTCTGCAATCGACCTGAGTGGCATGGTAGAACCTACAGAAATATACGTTCAAGACAATATAGTTCGGTTAGGTCATCACGATAGGCAAGCCTGATCACCACGTCAGGATGATAGCTACGGTCGGGAGAGACTGATCAGTTGTAGCCCCGAATATAAATATTGGGATGTAACAACCCTTACTATCAAGGTTACCGAAAATTGATCATGATAAAATTAACAATATCCGTTTGCAGTAGGAAAATATTTTTCTTTTTATCAATGATAGTTTTCTGTGAAATAAAACTATTGATTTATCATCACGTTGAAATAAGTGGTTAACTGCTCATAAAATCCCCGAAAATCACCATACATCGACTATGCTCTAGAATTCCGTGTTCAGTTAAATGTGAAGCTGTGAGGTTTATGAACATGTCGAAAGTTTTATCCAAATTCCTAGCTTCTTTGGTTTAGTTATGACAATCTTGTGCATAGTAATAATTAACTTGAAGGATTGTTGATATTTGGTAGCAATAACTTGTGAAGAATTTTGAGGGTCAACAGCAGTTGTTTGGACATAGTCAAGATAAAAATACAACACATATTTACAAGTTCAAACTCCAAGTTGATTGCAATTCTCACACTAACCATTTCATATGAAGATTAATGAAAGGTCAATTAAATAAAAGTTGAAATAAACATAAGGTGATAACTGTAAATAAAGGAGCTTATAAATCATGCGTAATTTCCTGACGCTGATTCTGCCAGGTTTAGGAGGAGGTAGTCATTTAGGGCGAATAGAAGATTAGGATGAGCATCCTAGCATCATTATAACTGCCTGGATCAGTTAAACAAAAGAAAACAACTTAGTATCTTGAAACATTTGGAGCGGTTCAAAACAGCAATAACTGACAATCTTGCTATTATTGTCTACTATAACCTTTTTCATTACTTAAACACGACCAATATTACTATATTATAGTTACGCATAAACGTAAACATGTCATTTTTAGAATATTCTCTTTCTGTTACCTCAACTCTGCAAACAACAACCCGGCCGCGAGGAAGCAGTGAGTAGGACTTCGTTGACAGTGGCTACAAACGCGTAGCCGT